AGTGGTCTGAGCCATGCATGGCTCAGGTGATGAGGACATCCTGGCGATCTCTTTCTCTGACAATGATGTCGTCAATGAGATGCCAGTGTTTGAATCATGGGTGGTGCCACAACCCTGGAACTTGTCGGCCTGCCTAAACAAGGTACTGGTGATAGTGAGGTTGTGCGCAGCACACTTGCTGAGGAGGAGTAGGCCGTTGGGATTATACTTGCCTAGTCCATTTCTCCCTATGATTCCCAGCCAAATGTCAGCATCTCTGCCAACTCTTGCATTGAAGTCACCTAGGAGCACAACCCTATCTTCTCTAGGGATACAGGTTAACACTCTGTCAAGGTCTGCGTAAAAAGCCGACCTGATGAAGAAGGCATGACGCGAGTGATTCAGTGGGACTCGGAGCGTCATGAGGTGCTTGTTGATCCTAACAGGCATTTCAGTTGGCCTAGTATGTATTGGCGGATGGCAAAGCCAACTCCATAAATGCGGTTTCTCTCCGCAGCAGGATTTCCCTTCCAGAAGAAGGTATAGCCAGATCCCCTTTATGTGAATTGACCCTCGTCTGGGAGCCGGGACTCACTAATGGCTGCTATGTTGATGTTATACCTAGCCAGCTCTTTTACCACAAGGACAGTTCTTCTTTCAGGATGCTCATTTGTGCCAGTATCCAGATGGGCCCTGACATTCCATGCAGCAACCAACCGACCATAAGAGGTTGTATAGCTTGTTTTTGTTTGGATCTGTGATTATGATCGTGTTTTTTTACTGCATAACGGTGACCTTACTGGGTGTGGTTGCCCAGTCAGGTTGGTTCTTTAGGCAGGCTATGTTTTAGGGACCTTTTCTTGCCCCCTCCCCATGTGGGGTGAGCAGAGTGGCTCCTCGAAAGGGCTGCTCAGTCGCACAAACAGGACCGGATTGCACTGCTGCCAAGATCCCAGTGCATAAACGACCATCTTATCTATCCCGCCGATGTGCAGAGTTATGACTAGACTCCCGGCAATCATCTCTACCTGTCCTAGTGGCCACTCGTCTGTTGTCATAGGACTTTTGGGGGTAAAGAGGTTTTGATGATGATGAGAAGTATGATGAGCTGGATGATGGCTACACGAAAGTTGGTTTATGTGGTGAGGCAGGAACGCAGGCTGCAACCACACATCTTGGGTCTCCCTTTCCCTGATCTAGTGGTGCAAGTGTTGCAATGGACTGCCGATAGCCCAGTTTGTTGGGTTTTGCCCTAGTAGCCTGTCCATCATGCATTGCCTTCGTCCGGCAGTGTAGTCTTTGGATTCCCACCTATACCTCCGTTGGGGACTTCCTGGAGCTCTGTAAGCATGTCTGCCTGATGCTGGATCCACCACAGATTTTTCATTCGGGGTTTACCCCGTAGCCTTATACCTACCAAGGTTAATCCTGCAAGGCAGCGGGGCAATGGTGGGTAGGCACCAGGATGTGTCCACATGCCAGTGGGCTTATGCGCCACCCTTCTGGGGCCCACTGCTGCTCTGAGATCCCCTGCTGGTCTGGCCTGGGCCCAAGAGGCACCCAGTTACCGTGTGTTGTCCACAAGTAGGCACACCGGGAGTCTTGATGGTGAAGAGGCTTTGTATTGGCAGGGGAGAACTTATGCAATTTGTTTCCCTGTTTGCCACGAGGGCTAGTCAGCAACAGCAGCTGATAGCAAGAGGAAGCAAGCAGTGCTTGCACCTTAACACTAACATAATGCTGCCACACTAGATGCATTACACCACCCTGTGCACGCATGCACGCATTCACACATGCATGCATACATGCACGCACACACACACATACATGGGAATTAAGACAACAAGCATCCAGTGAGGGTCTTGTTATGTGACTGCCTGGTGGCGAGAAAACATCAGCTGTTGAGGAGTGTTGGCAACACTGGAGCATGTTACACTCCTTTCTACTCCATCTCTCTAATTACCCACACCTTTCTGCTTTCTCACTCCATATTTTTAAATGTTATGTAACGTAATGTTGAAGGGATACAACTTTGCTCATATATTCTTATACTTACCACAATCTCCTTCAATAATACTTTAGCTTTTGTTCAAGATATTTTCATGTCAAGAGACCCATTAATCCCCCACCCAAGAAGGAATACTGCACATTATTTCATAATCGGAATTTGCTCCCACACCTAGAAATAAAACTTGTGAATATTTTCAGATTTTTTATTTTATTTATTTTATTTTTTCAGAAAATTCTCTTGATTTTCAACCTCGGGATTTGTTCCCAAAGCTGGAAATTTCTGGACAAATCTGTCTTCTTTGGGAACAATTTTCTGAGAAAATTTCAATTCCAGCTATCTGAGAGATTTGGGTTTGAGGGATTCCGCCAACGGAGATATTACTGTATAACTTACAGCCATGAATTTAATAGTTCTTGGTAAAGATTTCAACGGACTTAAAAACACTTAGTAAGGACTACAGTAGTAGGTTAATTATACTTTAGGTTGAATTTATAATAGAAATGTACAGAAAATCCTGCAGGTAGTAGGCAGCTACCAAACAGGGAGGTACTACCGCCTGGGAAGATATTGGAAGCATAATGTATTGTCTAATGGTAGACCCTGCTGCCATATGGCATCACAAAAACTGTGACCAAGTCCCAGGCTGCTGATCTGACTTTCTGCCTCATTCACACACAATTGCAGGGTCTCAATTGTTTCTCTTACTTTGACAACACAACATACAGTTGTACCCCACTTAACGCGGTCAATTGAACCCAGAGGGTCCCGCGTTAAGTGAAATCCGCGTTAAGTGAACAACAGAACATATGGGATTAATTCCAATAGAAACCGGCCCGACCCCCAAACTCCACTTTTTGAAGGCACATACCTATGTTGTAGTAAAAATAACATCTTAATTTTATGATGGTATATGCACACAATTAATACTTAAGAGAAATAGAGAAATACAGTCGCCAAGTTAATGTCCATTCAAATAATGGACTCAACTCCCTCCCCCTCTCACACTACACAGCCGGCTAACAGATGGTCGGTCGGTCCCTCCCTCCCCCCCCCCACCCCCCACCAACCGTCCCAAGGAGATGTGTGGGATAACCTCAAACTAAAGTTAGGAAAATATAATTGACATTGCTGGATTCCTTGTAAGACCAGGAATATTTTGAATATAAATGTCATATATTTTGCACAAAAGATAACATAGTTACCTAGAGAAAAATTTTTATCTAAAAATTGTAAGTTTAAAGCAAAATATATGATGTTTATATTCAAAATGATCACCAAATTATAAGAATTCCAGCAATGTAAATTATATTCTGACCGGGTAATTTGTATGAATTTTATGAGCTAAAACAAATATCTTCAGTTAATAAAAAAAAAAAATCTTCACGACACTATCTGTCAATCAAAGTACCCCACCTTGCCTCCCCCCTCTTCCAACCGCGCGGTCAGTCCCAACCCTCCCCCCCACCCCCCACCAATCCTCCCTTCCAGAGTTTTTAACATTTAGTATTAAATAATACCTCAGATTAAAGTTAGGATAATATAATTGACATTGCTGGATTCCTTGTAAGACCAGGAATATTTTGAATATAAATGTCATATATTTTGCACAAAAGATACCATAGTTACCTAGAGAAAAATTTTTATCTAAAAATTGTAAGTTTAAAGCAAAATCTATGATGTTTATATTCAAAATGATCACCAAATTATAAGAATTCCAGCAATGTAAATTATATTCTGACCGGGTAATTTGTATGAATTTTATGAGCTAAAACAAATATCTTCAGTTAATAAAAAAAAAATAATCTTCACGACACTATCTGTCAATCAAAGTACCCCACCTTGCCTCCCCCCCTCTTCCAACCGCGGTCAGTCCCAACCCTCCCCCCCACCCCCCACCAATCCTCCCTTCCAGAGTTTTTAACATTTAGTATTAAATAATACCTCAGATTAAAGTTAGGATAATATAATTGACATTGCTGGATTCCTTGTAAGACCAGGAATATTTTGAATATAAATGTCATATATTTTGCACAAAAGATACCATAGTTACCTAGAGAAAAATTTTTATCTAAAAATTGTAAGTTTAAAGCAAAATATATGATGTTTATATTCAAAATGATCACCAAATTATAAGAATTCCAGCAATGTAAATTATATTCTGACCGGGTAATTTGTATGAATTTTATGAGCTAAAACAAATATCTTCAGTTAATAAAAAAAAATAATAATTCTTCACAGGGTAACAGATGGTCGGTTGGTCCCTCCCTCCCCCCCACCCCCCACCAACCGTCCCAAGGAGATGTGTGGGATAACCACTAAATTTTAATAAATAATACCTCAAACTAAAGTTAGGATAATATAATTGACATTGCTGGATTCCTTGTAAGACCAGGAATATTTTTAATATAAATGTCATATATTTTGCACAAAAGATACCATAGTTACCTAGAGAAAAATTTTTATCTAAAAATTGTAAGTTTAAAGCAAAATATATGATGTTTATATTCAAAATGATCACCAAATTATAAGAATTCCAGCAATGTAAATTATATTCTGGCCTGGTAATTTGTATGAATTTTATGAGCTAAAACAGGCAGTCAGGCAGGGTGGCGGGTGGGGCAAATCTAAAAATAGCGTCTCGGACACTCACCGCGTATATGTGGAAAAAATCCGCGTTAAGTGAAAGTTCAGCTTTGGCAAGGCACCGCGTATATGCGAAAACGCGTTAAGTGAAACCGTTAGGCGGGGTAAAACTGTACATATATTGTTTCTCACTCTTTGATATTTTTTTTGTATTTCTTTATGGTTCTTTATTATTAATATTATTATTATTACATTTTCGCCCACCAGGCCCGTAAAAAAAAAAAAAAGATACGTTTTGGTTAAGATAAACTGATATGTTCTGCTGATACAGATATGAACTGTTAAAAATTCTCATAAAGATTTAAACAATAAATGATTGTTAGAAAGATTTCCTTTGAGTAAAAAAGGGAAAAAAAAATATACTTACTTTTGGTGAAGATGAGAGTAATCATTAAAGTAGTCAGAAAAAGTGAGGCATATTGTATCCATGGGCTCAGTGTTGTTGAGCCAGCGAGTAGTGAGAAGAGTGGTAAACTGTTCCTGCAGGTCCTCCAAGGCCTCCTCCAACAAGTAGTCACACATTAAATCTCGCAAACGCTGGAAAATTTATAATTATAATTATAATCAGTCAACAGAATCTAGACTTCTCTGTTGAAGAAAGATTTTTATTATTTCTCCATTATCTAAATATTATTGCATACAGTTGCTCACCAACTGACATAAACAGTTTTGAGGGCAGGAGGCTGATAATTCCATCTGCATGCAATTGATGAAAATGAATGAAGAAACGTGCAGTCTGGATAACAAGATAAGAGTGATTGAAGTAATAAAAAAAAAGAAGAAAGTATTGGATCTGCAAGAAAAACACACACAAAAAACAGGGTAATTGAGAGGTGTGCTGAGAGGTGTGCTGAGAGGTGTGCTGGGGTCAAATGAAAGTGTAGCTGGAGTCAGGAATGTCAAAAAAGGTAAAAGTTGTGGCTATGTTGTTAAGTATATAATGATTGGGTTATGAGAATTCCCAGTCTTAAAACACAACTCTGTTTTCTTTTCCATAATATTTAAGGTCCACAAGTACAGGTAACACAACAAGTGCTTGGCACACATTAATCCCTTCACTACGGGGTTGCCACTTTTAATGTTTTAGTTTGCCAACACAAGAAGTTAAAATGATGCAGCGAAGAAACTGAAAAGTTATTAAAAGTACTGTGGTCATAATTTCCTTACTTGGTAGACAGTGAGCAAAGCATCAAACTCGGTGGCAATCTTGGCATCATTCTGGGTAGATCCACCAGGCTTCCAAAACTGAGACTTGATCGTCACCATAACATCCATCAGCCCTTGGCAGCTGTTGGCTAGTGCTATAATGTAAGTTGTAAAGTACTGGATCTGTTAATGAATACAAAAATATCCAAATGTTAAAAATTATTCCATAGTATAATATATACTTAATACAAATGTATTGGAAGATATAATAACACATTAATTAGAGAGAGTAAATCAATAATCTCAACTGCAGTTCTTAGTACAGTATTCACATTTTATATTTTGTATACAATCCAGTTTTCATTATTTGAGGGTTTCCATGACGACCTGAGGATAATCTCGCCCAGTGTGGTGGGAATGTTCGCTGGGTCAGGTGTTTTATGTGGTTTGTATTGTTCACTTCATCGTGTATATGTTCCTCCCACTACTACAGTCGACCCTCGTTAATTCGGACCCCTTTAATCCGGATTTCGGGTAATTCGGACAAAATCTGAACTTTTTTTTTTTTTTTTTTTTTTTAGGAATATTACCTACGCAGACCTTAAGCTAAAATGCTGGTCCACCCACTGCTTGGATAAAACACCGGCGTCTTTTTGGTTAAATGTAACATCACCACCACCAATAGTGTGGGGGGGGGATGCAACTTTTAGCTTCAGACATGAAAAATATTTACCATTTACTGCCAGTAAACAATGGAAATGTAAAATATGTACCAATTAGTAATGAAAAGTTGTGCAGTTCCTTCAGCAAATGAAGCTCGCCAACTTACAATAGGCTAAATTACCTTACAACGTGTTTTCAGTAGTCTATGTTGAAGTTCTTAGCACAGGCTAACTTATCATATCAGATACGGTATCACAGTTCTCATTGATCTACAAGAAATACTGGTAATAAAAACCTTTTCGATATTTCACATGTAATATAATACCCGGTAATCTACTTCAACCTCCTATTGTTTACAACGACGCATGACGCACCACCAGCTGTTGAGTATCAATCAGCTAGACGGTACACGTGTTTTTCGACTCGTTTTCAGTTAAAAAACTGTTATATCACATGTATATTTTACCTAAACTGCGCCTGAATGAATATATTCTCGGAAATAAATAGTAGTTTTGCTGAAACGTGATGTATTTTAATGTAAAATAGGATAAAACACATGACGAAAACAAAAAATTTTACCTAACCTTCCGATGTTCAAGAGAAGTCACTCGTTTTTTGCTAGTTTTTGGTTAAAATACTGTTATATTACAATGGCATTCTATTCATACTGTGCATGATATAATGCATTCACGGAAATGTAATATTTTTGCTGAAATGACGTACGTATTATAGTGGAAAGTGGGATAAAATCGTGACGAAAACAATGACTTTCGCTTTCGTTCGTTCAAAAGATGTTACCGTAATCGCTTTACGATTGGTTATCAGTTAAAAAACCGTTGTATTACAATAATATTCTATCCTAATTGACTTGAATAAATACTACGATACCATATTTCTGAATATTTTCATTAAAATCCATCCAAATCATTTTCCTTGTCATCGTCTGCAGCACCAAACAGCTTCTCCCAGTCCTCTCCTTGAACAGGGCTAGAGGGTACGTGTTTTTCGAATCGTTTTCAGTTAAAAAACTGTTACATCACACGTATATTTTACCTAAACTGCGCCTGAATGAATATATTCTCGGAAATAAATAGTAGTTTTGCTGAAACGTGATGTATTTCAATGTAAAATAGGATAAAATACATGGCGAAAACAAAAGACTTTACCTAAGCTTTCGATGTTCTTGAGATGTTATTGGTTTTTTTACTAGTTTTCGGATAAAATACTGTTATATTACAATGATATTCTATTCATACTGTGCTTGATATAATACATTCACGGAAATGTAATATTTTTGCTGAAATTACATACATATTACAGTGGAAAGTGGGATAAAATCGTGACGAAAACAATGACTTTGAAATATAATGCAATATTAACCCCTAAATCGGTTAATTCGGACAATCGGCTAAAACGGACACCCTCCTCCCCCTATTAGTCCGAATTAACGAGGGTCGACTGTATTTGTTATCATCTTCCTTTGTAAAGCAATTTATATATTTTTATTCTTAATATTATACTGTATACCAAATATCGCCTTTTTTTGGCCTCATAAAACATGTCAAAACACAAAAAAAATGGAAATTCATATAATGTTCACACACACACATATGTGATTGAAAACTTTGTAGGGAATAAAACCTTGATGTGCATGTTTGGGTTGCTTGATGGAGGAGCACTGCTTGGGAAAGGATCAATGCCAGGTGGTATTGTTGGTACAAGATTAAGGCTGAATGCTTCCAGTATGTACTCAAAGTGTTAATCACTGACTCTTTAGCCCTTTCTGTCCTGAGTCACAACAGCTGCATCTATGAACTCCAATGGAAGGAGTAACAACTTGACAGTGAAAAATGGGCTCTGTCATGAGAAATGACACATGCTGGTAAAATACGCCATCCATGTAGTTTGTAGTCATAAATGAACATATTGTACAGTTCTAAGAACATCAAAATACAGTGATATCCCCGTTAGCCGGAACAATTGGTGCAGAGCAATTCCGGAGCTGAGAGATTTCCGGCTAACCAGGTGGCTTTCTCAACCCCAGAAAAATCCCCCATCCTCGGAAATATTTCCGGTTACTGGAAATATTTTTCGAGTGTCTAAACTATGCATCTTGCACAAACAAATACAACCCACATCCTCAAAATGTTTCTGTGTGCTGAGGAGTTTTCCTAGAGTCTAAATTACCGGAGTCTGTAAAAGCAGTTCTAATTAAGTTAGAAACTCCATTTGTTAACTAAAATAATCCAGAATACTGTACTGTTGTTTATCTTAAAGTTTGATTAAATAAATATATTTAAAAACTAAAAATCTATATACGGGCATGAATGAAGCTGTGTGTTACAGCAAAGACTGGTATTTTCCACTCCCATGGAGCAGTGGGGGATTAGTGGGTCTCATGTAACTGACCTGACCTGATGCAATGTCAGGTGGAGGTAGGGTGGGGGATTAGTGGTCTCATATTACTGACCTTCTGATACAATGTCAGGTTACCTACTGTTGGGTGGGGGATTAGTGGGTCTCAGGACCTGAAGATGTCTTGAATAAACATGAAAGCTAAAATACAGTATTTTTTATACTTACACTTATCACATTGTATCCTTTCAACATTATGCTACATATCATTTTAAAATGTGGAGTGAGAAAGAAGAAAGGTGTGGGTGATTAGAGAGATGGAGTGGAAAGGAGTGGTAACATGCACCAGTGTTGCCAAGCACTAAGCTCCTCAACAGCTGATCTTTCAATTCACCACCACGCAGTTAACCACACATAAATTTATGTCATACAATACGGGGGTGTGTGGGTGGTGTTAGGGTGTCTGGGTGTGATGTGGTGGTATTAAATAATAAATAAGCAATATTGTATTGTCAATGACAGTCATTCAATGAATAGCAGCGTACTGGAATTGTCACTACTATTCATCAAACTACTGTACTATCATTAACAATACAATATTGTTTATTTATTATTTATTAATAAATACCCCAACACCAGCCATATGGCATCAAAAAAATTGTGACCAATTCACAGGTTGCTGATCTGACTTTCTGCCTCATTTACACACAATTGCAGGGTCTCAATTGTTTTTCTTACTATTGACAACACTATTTATTTATTTTTTAATTTTTGTATTTATTTATGGTTATTATTAGTTTATTTTTTATTATAATTTGTATTAATTTTTATTAATTATTTGTATTATTATTATTATTATATTTTCGCCCCCCAGGCCGTGATGTGGGTCAGTGTCCTGAGCCCGGGTGGGCTAATCCCCGTAAAAAAAAAAAACATCATACACACACACACACACACAACATCTAGTTCACAGTCTTTTGTGTGAGACACTGTGAGTGGGAGGCAAGGTGCAGGCAGGGAGGCTGGCACTCCCCTTTTCACCAGTGATCAGCCTCATATGTTGTATGTTTTATCTTGGTTAATATAAAATATTAAACACATTTGAAAAAATATGATGTATAATTATTAATTTGACATCAAAATTACATGAAAAGTCGAATAATAAGGCAATTATTTCACCCAGACCTCTCTACAGGGAGGAAGGTCGGTGGCACGTACGCTTAACCATTGCCAAATTTCCCATTTTTTTTATTTAATAATTACATTACTGATACATTATAAAAAGCATTGTACTGTATTGTGTATGGAGTGCAGGTATTAATAGGCACATATTATTACAGTAAACATATCTTTATTACAGTATTACCCCGCCTAACGCGGTTTCACTTAACGCGTTTTATCATATAAGCGGTGCCTCGCCAGAGCTGAACTTTCACTTAACGCGGAATTTTTCATCATATACGCGGGAAGCGGCGCGGGCACGATGCGCACAAGGTCGCCCAGTCATCAAAACATTACCGAGTTCTTCACCCGCCACCCACCACAGCCGGCCCAAGTCAGTGATAGTGATAATTATAGTGAGGATATGGACTTATATGGCCTTTGAGGGGTTTGACAAAGAGGCCCTGCAAGCCTCTGTGGTGGATAGTGATACAATTGATACAAGTGATAGAGGTGAGGGCCAATAATCTGCCCTCTGCCTCGGAACCAACCCCCCATCCCCGTGTGCCCAGCCATCTTTTCTACTAATGCAAGTGTTAAAAAACCTAATATTATTGATATTTCTCTTAATTATTAATTGTGTGTGCATACCATCATAAAGTTAAGATAAAATTTTTACTACAACATAGTTGTGTGTCGTCAAAAAGTGGAGTTTGGGGGTCGGGCCAGTCTCTATTGGAATTAATCCCATATGTTCTGTTGTTCACTTAACGCGGTTTTCACTTAACGCGGTACCCTGTGGGTTCAATTGACCGCGTTAAGCGGGGTACTACTGTAATTAACAAAAAAAAGTAAAAATTATTACAATGGGAATGGCAGGCATGGGGACTAGGGGAAGACGAACCTTTTTGGGGGGCATGTGGTCAGTCACCCCCCCCTCCTCAAAGCTCCACCTTTTTACTCCATACTGAATTAAATATTTTACCAATGATAAGACATACACCATAAGAAGCTGATCATACGAG